ACAGGAAGTGGCCTGCTGTTCTGAGACGAGATTTGGTGGGGGGAGCAGAGGGCCTGGGGAGAGGGGGAGGATCAGATGACTATTGGGCATTAGGTTTTAGGGTTTTAGAGTTTGGCGGGGGGATAATAAGCATAAACATGTTTGCAGGGGAAAGGAGGGTGGGGAGTAGTGAGGGGTCTCAGATGATTCATTTGGCATTTAGGGTTTAGGGGGGTATAATAAACAGGTTTGCAAAGGAAAGAAAGGAGGGGAGAGGGGGGGAAAGCGGGGTTAGCAAAAGTAGGGAAGGTGAGAAAGTAGCCTATAAAAACAGAACCCCTACTATCTCAGCGTTTTCCCCCTATGACCCCTAAAAATGCCAGTGGGGAAAAATTGGAGGGCCAAACCATTCCTTAACTGGGAAGACCACACGGTTAAGGATGATTATAGGCTGCTGCTGGTGAGGAGGAGGAGGAAAGTATAGACCTCAGAAGGCTGGTCATGGATGGAGTGCTGGTACCAGCACCTGGCCCTCTGTCTATGGAAGTGCTGAATGCCACAACCAGATGGTTGCGAGATTTACCACACCTGTAGGCCAGGTACATTCAGTGTGAGGTGGCAGTGTTCTTTCCATTTTTCAAGCTTGCCATTCTTGGGAAGAGGGCATTACCATCTTCCCCCGAATAGAACACCCGGTCATTACCGTGAGGGCATGGGTGCGCAGCCCGTAGTTTGTCTGTTGATGTGGTTGGGAAAGGGTAAGATAGTGATTATCCTGTATTTATGTTTTGGGATGTCCGCTAAATACAACACCAAGAGTGAGAGTGTTAGTGTGCGTGTGTGCGAGTATGTGTGTGTGTGTGAGAGTGTGTGTGTATATGTGTGTGTGTGTGTGTGTGTGTGTGTGTGTGTGTGTGTGTGTGTGTGTGTGTGTGTGATGATGTGTGTAAGCACATATTAAGGACGCCTGAGCACATGATAAACATGCAGTCCATCTACACAGGATACACTCCGTCACTTGCCCTAATGCCCTCATACATTCACAGGCTAGATCCTCTATTTACCCAGGCATGTCATTCAAGCAGACGGTAGCTCGACAGAACAACACGGCACAACAGACCATGAAGCAAAAGACATGGGTTGGAAGGCATGGGGGAGGCGGGTGGGCAGACAGACAGCACACCGCAAGGCAAACAGCACAAGGCAGCAAAGCAAATAGGCTGCAGGGAATGGGGGAGGCGGGTGGACAGGCAAACAACACAAAGCAACAAAGCACACTGGGTGAAAGGCCTGGGGTAGGCAGATGGCCAAGCAAACAGCATAAGGCAGCGAGGGATACAACAGCAAGACAAACGATGACAAGGCAAAAGCAGCACCCAAAACAAAATACAAGTATAAGACTGAAAAAAATATAAGTTGATGATAGATTGCTTCGTCGGAGTTGCACCGACTCATCAGGAGGGAACCCTCGACAATCTGTGGAATCTCCGTATTTGATGGTTTGGGTCATGAACCCTTTGACCCTTGTTGAAGGCAGACTGTCCCCACGTGGAACATAGCAGTGGGCAGCAGCCCTGCGGAGCACCCGGCAGCGCAGTAGAGGTGGCACGGCTGCACAACGCCAAAAACAACCGCAGGGAATAAAACGGTAAGCAGATGACGGATGAACAGCACAGCAACCATGGGTTGAAGCACAAGGCCACACAGACAAGGCAACCACACAGCAAGGGACGGCGGGGCGGGCAGACCACCAGCTCGGCAACCATGCAGCGAAGCACAAGGCAACAGCAACAAGGCAACCAACCTACAAGGCGTGCAAGCGACAAACACGGAAGGCACGGCCAGCGGATGAGCGGCAAGGCAGCGGAGCAGCAAAGCGCAAGGCAACACCAACAACGCCGCCACACCACGCAGCGAACACAGCAATTTGCAGAGAACCACATGCGAAGCCAGCGGGACAGGCAGCAAGGCAGCAGTGGAGCACAAACGAGGCAGTCCACACATCCAACACGGAGCAAAGCGGCACATGACCTACTCACATCACGATTGAACCCCGCAGACTGTTGGTTCCCACCACCCACTGAGCCAGGGAGACACTCCGACGAGCATCCGTCATCACCCACAGGCAACACAGGCATCCCGAACCGAGTGGCCCCCTTAACAGTGCAATAGGCACTCCAAACGAGGAACCACTGACTGTCTGGCACTACTTAAGGGTGCTCAGTTGGGCACACAAAATATACTTAGAAGAAAATCAGAGGGAAGACAGACAACAGGAGAAAGACTGACAGACATAAAACTGGTGTGTGTGTGTGTGTGTGTGTGTGAGAGAGAGAGACACACACACACACACACACACACACACACACACACACACACACACACACACACACAGAGAGAGAGAGAGAGAGAGAGCCCTGCCGCACGCAGCATGTCAGTGACCGGGAGCACAAGGGCAGGCGCTAACCTCGAAAAAAAAAAGGCAATGTTCCATTAGACTACAGGAGTTCTTCTTTTCGAAATTTGAATAGAACACACATGCTTTGTATTCAAGAACGCATACACGTTCTATTCAAAGTGCCCCTCTATTCGAGAAAGTGGACTAACTCTTGACCCCGGGGAGCCAAGCCCCATTTCATTTTTTTTCCAGGACCGCGCCCAATACCCCGGTCAGGTGCCTGTAGGACTGCCTGCCCCCCTAGAAGCCCCTGCCTTCAATTTTAACACTCTTCTGACGACCAATTGGGCCAAAGGGAACAACCGGTAGAATCAAACGATGAAAATGACTCAAGGGTAATAAATGCAACCCTAGGGGCTGCAAATTTGGGGCCACTGTCCGTTTAGATGCAATGATAATGACTACACATTCTGTTTGGGTGAAGACGGCAGTAAGACCTATTAATGCTCAAACAAAAGTGGTGGGGACCACTCTGCTGGCGGTGTTAGCTCTGCTGGCGGTGTTAGAGATGGTGCGGATCACTCTCCTGGATGTCTGTCTAGGCACTATGGTCTTCCCAAGCATGCATGAGGTCTAGGGACAACGGATTAAATAACGGTACCAGGTATTTATGAGCAGTACGTGAATGACTAAATTGGGCCTAAATTAGTGCTTTAGATGGAGTCCAAAGGGCGGTCGGGATTATGAGATGGTGGGATGGGGTGGCAAAACCAAGGGCAGGGCCATGGGAGGAGGGCTACCGTCTTCCTTCCCCCGAACCGAACACACCATCATTATAGCCGTAGGCAGCATCAGGGGCAAATTTCAGTCTAGATATAGCGATATTGACCATGCGTGCATTCTATTTGGTGGAAGACGGTACTGTGGATAGTAATTTGTTGATCTCCCTTGTGGATTCATAGCGTGGGTAATATGCAGACCGCCAGTCAAACAAGGGAGATGGAAGGGGTGGAAGTAGAGGAAACTTAAGCTGAGATACAAGAAGCAAGCAAGTTTCTGATCAAACTGCAAAATTACGGAGAAACAACGCAAGGATGCACTGTATGAATGGAAACAATCAAGATCAATCTATACGTTATTAGCCGCAGAACCTCCTCCGTGCACGCACGGATTTGAACAGGCACCCTCAGCTTCAAGAGCCCAGTTTCTTAACCACGGCCATGGCACAGTGTACAATAGTGGATCCATGCCTGTCATGATCCAGCCCACCCCTGCATGGCTGTAGTGTCCTTCAACACACACACACACACACACACACACACACACACACACACACACACACACACACACACACACAACACAACACACGGCATCCGCCACATAGGCAATAGTCGCACACTCCGCTCCAATCCTGCACGACTGCTTCTCGATCAACCCAAGAAAGGAAAGAAATATTGCTGCAGCCCGGCGGTTTGATGGCTCCTCCTCCTGTATCCATGGGGGACAAGGCGGGGAAGGGGATAAGGATCACTCGTCACCGACTGTCTCTTTGCTTCAGCTGCCGGTCCTAATCCAAATGTGACCACTCCCTCATCCTTTAGCCCTTCTGCAAACATTTTGTTGATCCTTATCCGATTCTTATCCAGTCCTTATCCAATCCTTATGGTTTTTGCATCATCATCTTGATAAATAAGATTGCCCAAGAATATAGTGCGGAACCACCAGCACACATCACTCTTTGGCCGTGCTCTGGTGATCAACAATGTTGTTTTAGCCACCCTTTGGTATAAATCGGCTCTTTGGCCACTGAGCCCAAAGACCCTGAGGACCCTAAAGAGGAAGGTGACAGGCTACCTATGGAGAGGAGACAGTGAAAATCCCCACGCTATAAGTCGAGTAGCGTGGGACTCAGTTATTTAACCCAAGGCAAATGGAGGCCTTGGTATCCTAGACCCCCTCGGCCAATCCCAAGCCCTTAGTCTACAATGGGTGATACGTTTGATCTTCGAAAACCCATCAGTATGGAGGCCGCTAGCACTGGAACAAATTGCCCGCCTCGCCCCCGAGGCTCCTCCGTCCGTCCACCCTCTCTAGTGGTTAGATGATCGCTATTGGAGAATATCACGACGCTCCCGGGGAGGGAAAGGACAGAGAGATGACTTCTGGCCCCGTTTGCTAAAAATCTGGAGGAAGCTTCCCCCCTCGAATCGCCCACCCCCAGACAGGTGGGAAGAGGTGGCAAGACAACCCCTCTTCGGGAATCGTTGGATCACCAACGAACA